TAATATAAGACCTTTTCGCTATTTCAAAATATTGACTGCATACATACTAAAATGAGTGAACATACATACTAGAATATGTCTAGATACATACGAATCAAAAAAAGCTAAAATGTCTTGTACTCCCTCTGTTCCTAAATATAAGTCTTTCTAGAGATTTCAATATGGACTACATACGGATGTATATAGACGTAGTTTAGAGTGTAGATTCACTCATTTTGCTCCATATGTAGTCTATATTGGAATCTCTAAAAAGACTTGTATTTAGGAACGGAGGGAGTATATGCATGCAGCAAAGCACATATTCAGTAAGATGTGTTCCAACAATTAAACTCGTGAATGTGTTTTTCTTGTTTAGACTCTAGGGTATACAATCTATCCGTGGTTCTTCCTAGAAAGGGCAGCTTAAAGGAAACATGCTTGATCTGTGTTGGTGCCTGTAAAAATTGCCAAACATTAGTGTGGTGGAGATTATTTCAAACTTGCCTATTGTGTGCAAGAAATAAACTCAACTTATCTTGACCTTCTATTTCAAACAAATAACATGGGTCTCTTTTCTCATAAATGCATGTTGATATAATTTAATATCCGGTGCAGCATAATATCGGTTTGCATGTGTGCAAGGATGTTACTTTTTTTCCGGAAGAAATGATTGAAACTTACCTAGTACTCGTATGTAGGCCTAGGGCGTAATCAGTTCCCGGAAATCTGAGTACTATCTAGCGCAGTGTGTACTAGTGGATGGTCGGAGTCCTTTTACATCATATACCAGTCATATAGAAGGCAGAACTAGTTCTATGGATGTTACTTTTTTTCCGGAAGAAATGATTGAAACTTACCTAGTACTCGTATGTAGGCCTAGGGCGTAATCAGTTCCCGGAAATCTGAAGGAATATAGAAGGCAAGGCCTACTGTGTTTCCATTATATGTTTACCTGTTTTTTCCTATGGTTGTAGAAAGTCAGATTGAATATATGTGAAAACCTTTTTGAAAAGGTCGTATATGCAATAAAGGGCTGCCAAGGGAAAGCAAAACGACTATATATAGAAACTGGGCGCCAGCTGATCTGCATTGTACTACTTGTTTTAGTGCACTGGGATCTCATAACTGTACCTACTTGCCAAATCAGCCACATGGTGCACACAACCGTTAGCATGCCATAGCAGCACTACAATATTAGCGCGACATTCTATTTAAAACACCATCATTTTAAACTACTAAATTCCTTGGTTCTTAAGCAAGCATTACGAGTCGAGCGACTAGTCGAAACTAGTCGATAGACTACTCTCTGAGTCGCACTCTGGATGTCGACTAGAAAATTCGGGTAGACTAGTTCGCCAAGTCGAGCAGTCGAGGGACTAGTCGTAGACTAGTCTGGACTAGTCCTGCACTTTGAGTTGTTCGACTCAATTTTTTCTTTTTTTAGGGACTGGGAGGGGATAAGTGAGCCAGCCGCCCAGCCCGCAACCCGTGGGAAGGAAAATTTGTATTATCCACTTCTCATGCATTCAGTTTGTATTTATACTGTACTGTGCTACTGCTATATACTCCCTCCGTCCCAAAATAAGTGACTCAAAAGTGAGTGAACTTTGTACTAATTTTAGTACAAAGTTCACTCACTTTTGAGTCACTTATTTTGGGACGGAGGGAGTAGTATATACTACAGACTAATACTAGGTTTTAGTAATTGATTACTGCAAAGTGTGTGTTACAGTACCATGTCGACTAGTCCAGCAATAGTCTAGACTAGCCATGATTAGTCTATGAGTCTCAACCTTGGAACGACTCGTCGACTCGTAAACCTTGTTCTTAAGTGATGCTAATTTTTCAGTCATATAAATTCTCACCGCCTTTTTTTCCTTGTTTGTAATTGCAGGTGGTCCTATCATACCCTGAACCTCTTGTTCACTTTGCTTTGGTATGTGGTACCAAATCTGGACCTGCACTTAGGTGTTACTCGCCGGGAAATATTGATAAAGAGTTAATGGAAGCTGCACGAGATTTCGTAAGGAATGGAGGACTGATTGTTGATCCTGAAGCGAAGGTTGCATCTGTAAGCAAAATCTTACGATGGTAAGACAATAAAATGATTGATATTCTTGCTTTACCAATATGTTTCGAGTATTTACCGTTCTTGCTTAGTAGTGTGCGACTGTTTGGCACCAGAATTTGTAGTATAACAATGACGATGCATCTAATAGAGCTATTTACCGGAACATCCAGCACATTGACATGTTCAATAGTACTACTGACTTCAACAGACAGTTACTCTAGGTATAAATTACAACCCTAGAGCTGCTTGAAACATAAGATAGATAAGACAGTTACTCTAGCTTTTTCGGTCTTGTAGTTGGAGACAAGGTAGAATACCTGTCTGATTTGGGGCTATCCTTGTGCGTCATAGTGACATACTACCTCCGTCCTGGTTTATTGGTCCCCTTAGTATTTTGTGCCAAACTTTGACCATAGATTTAACTAAGAAAATAATAATGCATGTCACTAAAAATTATATCGTTGGATTTGTATTTGAATGTAGTTTTCAAGGATACTATTTTTGGTTACATGCATTAATATTTTGTTAGTTAAATCTAAGGTCAAAATTTAGCACAAAATGCGAAGGGGACCAATAAACTAGGACGGAGGTAGTAGTCCTCTAATGTTTGCTTGGTTTTTGTTACTTGAATTCGCCCTTGGTTAAGTTGGATATGAATGAATATATGATGAGTAATGCTCCAAACAGCGGTCAACCAAGCTTGTAGCGCTTTGTGTGGTGCATTAACACTCATGTGGCCTTTTATGAATACTTTGCGTGTAAGTTCAAGTGGAATATAGCAGGATGCTGATAATTTTTATAGATATGGATTTGTGTGCTTTGCCCTATTAGGGTTATAACTAATGAAGAATAACTAAAATATACTTACTGAGATCGCTTTATCCATAATTTGAAGGCCATAACGGCAAGTGAGGTGGTTATGACCCGCGTTTAGTCTGTGGTCACTAGAAATACAACTGGAACTGCACAATGCCCAACAAATTAAGGGAATGCAGTATCAATGAGTCATTGATGATGGGACATCGGCTGTTTATTCTGCGTGAGATAACAGCAAATGCATTACTGTGTTACTAGACAGATTGGCGAATGATCATAATTTGTTACACAGTTATATCGCTAGAGTGCAAGTCCCAAATATTAACTTGGTTAATTTTACCTGATATGCACTGTGATGAAATTATAGCAGTAGCAATTGAGAAGTTGAGCATCAGTTACCAAATCTGGACCTGCACTTTGGTATGTGGCAATGCTTTTGATAACTTAAGCTTGGAAACTCGTGGTCCAAATGATTTTAAGGTATAAGTACACAGACTTTGGTAAAATGAGATACAGCTCAAAAACTCTTGTTCTGAATTGTTTGCAGGTATAACACAGACTTCGGTAAGAATGAGACAGAAGTACTGAAGCATGCAGCAAATTATCTGGAGCCTGCAGCGTCGGAGCAATTCTTGGAGCTGCTCGCAAACACTCAACTGAAGGTCTCGTATCAGCCTTATGACTGGAGCTTGAACATCTAGCTGCAGCCAGGATTATACAAATGTTTTTTTTCTTTATAGCTAGAATACATGTTGCCCAAAGATTTGTGGAAGGATGCTACCTGTATACCCAGTTTCTTTTTTGCGAAGTCAGGTACACCAAGGAATTTTCATGTATTATGGATTTGTGGCGAACTGGATGGCCGCCAATCAACCATGTTCCGTTCATTTGACTAAATGGGCGCCTTCCATGTTGATTATCGTATCTCTGTTCCTGGGACTGCTCAATTATTGTTGCCTGCAGATGTTATGTTTCCTTCGGTATTGCTGGCACCCCTACATCGGCATGTGCGCTGTTTCTTTTTTCCTTCTTATCGTTTGAGAAAAAATGGATTTACTGTAAATTTTTTTAATGCTTATCCAAGTTGTCATATATGCACATTTTTATGCATTGTTCAATCTTGCAATGCATTCACTGTTGAGCAATGTAGCTGTCATATATGAACATTTCTGCACTTTGTATAGGTCCTTCGGAGGTTGTGGAAAAGCGACGAGACGTCAGTTGCAGTTCCTTGTTTATTATTCTTTGGATGTTGCATTTTGTCTTAACCAAATGAGTTGAGATCCACCGAACTTCCATGGACTGAATATTGAGCAGTTAGGAAATTCCTTCGATCCAGACGGGCCTCTAGTATTGCGGAGTGGTTGAAGAATGAAGACTAAAAAAGGCACCCCTACCCACTTTCAACATTTTCCTAGTTCATGACCATTAAAAATGGAGAGGCAAAGTAACAAGGAAGCTGGCCGTGTTATCATCCCTGGCGTCGTCAGCCACCCTGTCACAATTCTTTGCTCAGTCAGATGGTAGCTGGCCGACGTGACAGCCAAACCGACGCCATGGTCGACAGCCCGACCAGCGGCTGCCGCCGGCGCGGTCCAGCACAAGCTGACAAGGCAACTGCACCCACAGCTGCAACTGCAAAGCAAAGCTACGAGCAGAAGAACCAAAAACACACATACAAACTGCCTTCCGTCAGTCCAACATACTCCCTTTACACTTCTGGACAGAAATCACTTCCCTGTTACATATTTATATATAATATGCAGTGGCAACTTGGGGGAAAAAATCTCGACAAATACTATACGAGTATATATGTAGAAGCAAAAAATAAGAAGTGGAACCTCATTTCCGACGTCACTACACAATGTCTACATCTTAAAACAACAGCAAGCATCCCAGCTCTTGACTTCCTGCATACCCGTTACAGCTTACATGGATGTATGGAAGGGCCCCCCGCTGTAACCAAACGTACTGTCGAGCAGAGATGAAATATATATGGTGTTAAGTTACCGTCTCTAGGCATTTCATTCAAGAATGGCTTGCAAGAATCAAGTGTTAGGGTGAACTTGCAATCGTTGTGAGCATGGATGGCACCAATATACAGAAATACACAACGCGGGCTGAATCGAAAGCGTCACAATATCGTGCACCCACATCTGTTCTGCTTGGGAGAATTCGAGAGGTGCTTATCTGGAAAGAAAAAGGATGGTGGCACATTAAGATCAGAAACAAATCAAACGGAACTACGATGCTAAAGCAAATTAAACAAATGTATAAATGCTGGAGTGCGATATGCTTGTCCACATAGTTACCCTTTAAATTAACATCAACATACTCTGGATTATCACAATAAAATGGTTCCATTTACAAGACATCAGATAGCGGTGGCAATGCGAATAGCATGCAACAACAAGTCATCTAATCGCATTCTGACAATAGGAGAAAATAGTCGGAAGCATAAACTGCTAGTTCAATTCAATGGCAAAGTTGCTGAAAGAACTGAGCATCGGGTAATGGGTCAACTAAAGGAGGCGAAAACAATGTTACGACCAGCATAGAAAAAATATACACCTAGAGATATACAATGTGTGCACTCTTAATTCTTATTTTTTTAGGAGTAGAACTGTTAGAATGGCAAAAAGGTGGATGACAACTTCTTCGGACAGACAATAGTCAGAATTCTCATTCAGGTCACACATAACATAACAGAAGTTCAACCCTTCGGATCTTAAACCAAGTGAGATCATCAAACATATAAAGAGATGGGACTTTGAATAAATAAGAGGGAAATCAAATCAATACCACTTTTGTCACTTTGGGGAGGGCGTACAACAACATGCATCGTGATCACACCTCCTGGAACTTCCCCTACTGGGACTCGAGACTCAGCAAGAGTTTTGTTATTCTCAAGTATCCTTCCAGCATTGATGAGCTTCACGTCATTGAGAGTTTTTGGAATAATGTCTTTGTCTGTCAAAAACATTGTAAAAAGACACTCTTAACACAGATAATGATATATTCCATAAAACTTCTACAAGACTGAAATAATCAACAGCAGTATTCAGAGAACTTGAAGCACTCACAAAAGCTGTATACTATTCCCCTGAAAAGAAAAGGGCAAAACCCTGGAAGTGCAAACTCAAAACATCTCATCACAAGGTAAACTCTCCTTCTGAAGCATGGTCATCTACATGTTATGGACCATTTTGCGGTCTTATCCTCAAAGGACACATTTGCATATGTTGCAAAAGGGAAACATATATTTCCTTCTCTATTGTGAACATGTCACAGTGATCAATTAATCCATGTTTTCATACACTAAATGAACATGTCGGAGGAAGAACAGAGACAAAACAGGAACAAAAATTATGTTCATGCGGACTTAAACCTGGGTAGTGGGATGTACATCCACTTCACCCATGTGAGCTAGCCCAGTTCCTATTATTAATCTGTGCAGGCAAATAAGAACTGGAGCTTCCTGCTGCCACTAATTCCTCCTTTCCTTGCCGTCGGGTTTTGAGGAAACTTAACCAAAGGACAATTTCTGCAGAAACAGCTACTCCCTCAGATCCAAATTAACTGTCGCAGCTCTAGTACAACTTTAGTACAATGTTAGAGCTGCGATAATTAATTTGGATCAGAGGGAGTAGTGTTTCTTGTTCGATTACCAAACAAACAATTAAAAAAGCGTGCATCATAACTAATCTGCCGCTTCGGCCGTTAGTATTTTGGTACTTCCCATGTGCCTACATTTCGGTCCAGACTCATGCTTAAAAACGCTCTCCAAATTTACTGTTACGAGCATAAACCAGCCAGACTGGCCTCTATAAAAGCACCGACTGAACTTCACACCCAGTAGTTCAGAACTAAGACTGGACCACTAAATACTAGGGTAGTATCCAAGGACACCAACAGGATAAGAAGGCAGACAAACAGCCTCCTCAAATGGTCCTGTCATCCGTCATCACATGTTTCAGCATGCATCGTAAGATACATACAGAGATCCAAAATTCTTTCGGAGCACTAACGAGTAGCAACAAATGTCATCACCGCAAAAATATGTCTTCTGTCTGCCCCTTTAAGAAAATGCAAGAACTTGTAGATGTACTGACATATCTATTCTCTGCCTGTCAACAAAGTGTTTGCTACTACGGGTAAGGAGACTTCTAAAAGCCTCAGTTAGTTGGAAACCTGGACGCGTGTTACCTAACTGCCAAAGAACAGAAGAATCACGCAACCCACGGAACAACCTGATCAAATCACTGTGTTTTATCGCGAAAGGGAAAGGCGAGGATGGCTCCCAGATCCAGACCGAACCATCTGCACAGGGATTCTCATACCGGATCAAGAAACCGATAGAGAGGACACGAGGGGCGAGACGACCGCGCAAGCAACCGCCCCGAAACACATGGCATCAAAAGCGGAGGCGTGTATATGTATGTACGCGGAGGAAAGGGAGGGGAGGGGAGGGGGAGGGAGGTCGATCGGCCTCACCCTGCGGCCACCGAGCGAGGACGAACTCCTTGAGCGCCGTGACGGTGGTGGCGGGGTCGTACTTGTTGGGCCCGATGTCCGTGCCGTCGAACAGGCGGAACTTCACCTCGATCGGCTCTTTCCCGCCGGCCATCTCCCCCCGGGCCGGATCGCCCCGCGACGCAAGATCCCAACAACCGCCGGCTCAGTCGACGGCGGCTGGCCGGGCGGAGGGATTCAGAGGAGGAAAGAAAAGCTGCCGGATTCGACGCGGCGAGGGCAAGAACCGACGCGGATCCCACGAAGGATAGGATCCGCTTTCTCGTTTTGTTAAGCAAGAATTTAGAATTCTTTCGTGGGGAGCAAAGCGACGAGACGGGCGTCTCGAGGGTAGGGAGGAAGAGAGGGAGAGGGAGAGAGAGAGAGAAGGGGGAGTGGGATTCCTCGGTGTTTTCGCAGATACGTCCCCAGAGGAAAACTATATTCATCCTCGAGCTGTAGTGGGAAAATAGCTGTCTTGCGCCTACCTGCTGCTCAGAGGCGACTATTGTGTGTGTGTCGACAAGATTTTTAAATAGATTAATTACGTTGCACGTACAACAGTTTTTTTTCCTTCGAAAAGGGCTGAGACCATATCACAAGGGCTTATAAACACACCCTTAAAAAAGTACATCCAAAATCTTTGAGGTCTCGAAGTCTATTTTGAGGGCCTCCGCCTCAATAGAGCGTATTTTTTGAAACCAAAGAGTTTGTAGAAGCAGCGGTTGCGAAGTCTTCAATGCAAACCAAGAGATCTCGGCAGCCGCGATTCGCCGCACCGGAGAGAAAAAAAAGGTGTCGTTAAGGGCATGTAGAAACTTTGAAGGCCGCGTGAGCCGGCTGAATCTAGATGGATCTCCAGAAACTTAAATCGACCGGATCCTAGAAGACCCACTGGAGGCACGGCTCGACACACCATTCGCCAGCGGAAAGTAGACCCACAGAATGATAATAGGATGAGAAGAACATTATTCCTACCCTAGGCAACGCCGTCCTAAACCAAAACTGAATACACCGTAAAGAAAACCTGAAAAATAACACCCCATCCCGTTGTATAACAGATTCGGGTATGATGTTGTGCTCGTCGTCGTGCAAAGCCATGCATCCATGCCCTCTTCTTCGATGATCTAGCCAGGCTGAGCCAGCGATGAAGAGTGTCATGTTGGGTCCATCCAACACCCGCCGGCTTCACCAACATCGCCATCGCGCACCGCCTGGCCAAGACCACTGCTCGAGCACCATCTCCTTCGCAGTCGCAGCAACACTCTAGCACCTTCACGGCAAGCCGCCCCGATAAGGACCTTGTAGTTGGCGTCGTCGCGGCGAGAGGGGTAGGCGATGGGTGGCAGCTGGGTTTTGTGGTCGGCGACCATGCCCATAGACTTGAGAAAACAATTCACGCACACACGTCAATTTATTATAGATATGCATTTTAGAACATCTTTTATTTTTCTGCAAAATGTGCATTTTAGAACACCAATCGGTAAAAAACATAACACTTCTTTTGAGGTGGAAAAAACTGGCAGTTGTGTTCTTTTAGACAAAGACAAAAAAGAGCACTTAGTTTACTTCATGAACTTGTTTAGTGGGTGCAGATTGGCATAAAACCGAGATGAGCTAATTCCGATGACGTGGTATGCCACACAACCAATTCGCACCAGTGTCACACATATGAGCGGGCGACGGGAACCCGAGTTACAGTATCACCAACAGTTTCTTTTCCCCGTAAATAATTTTCGTTTACGGGAAGTTGGGCCAAAAAAGTAGCTACAACAGCCCCTGTAAAAAGCAAAATAAATTTAAGGACCCATATAATCAACCTGTTGGTGCAATTACTTGCCCCATGTGTTTTGGAGATTGTTGACAGAAACAGTTTGGGACTGATGTGTTTTCTAGTGCACGCAGAGAGAAAGTGTCCCTCGAGTACCGAGAGGATTACTATAATCTTCCGAAAATTTGCTCCCTAAAAGATTGCTATAATCTTTCAAAAGATCTATCGAGAAGATTGCTATAATCTTCCAAAAGATTTGCTACCGAGAAGATTGCTATAATCCCGCGAGAAGTTCGCAATCGAAAGGTTTGCTACCGAAATGATTGCTATAAAAAGGTTTGCTACCAAAAAGTTTGCTGCCGAGAAGATTGCTACTTACGAGAAGTTTGCTATAAACTTCTAAGAAAGTTATCTGCACAACAGAGAAGATTGGTATGCTTCGAGAGGCTTACTATCAATAAGATTGTGACTTCCGAGAAGTTTGCTATAAACTTCCTCAAAGGTTATCAGCGCTGCAGAAAAAATTGTCATGTCTCGAAGAGTTTGTTATCGAGAATATTGCATGCCGGAGATGGCCCTGAAAAAATTATTGCTGAAGTGAAGCAATTTTCATTCAGTGTGTCCGAAGAAGAATGTATGCAGTCGATAAGATTGAAGACGAAGCGAAGACGTAGCATTGTTGGGTAACGTTGCAGGGAAAACAAAAAAAATTCTACGCACACGCAAGATCTATCCATGGAGATGCATAGCAACGAGAGGGAAGAGTGTGTCTACATACCCTCGTAGACCATAAGCGGAAGCGTTTAGTAACGTAGTTGATGTAGACGAACTTCTTCGCGATCCAACCGATAGAGTACCGAACGCACGACACCTCCGTGTTCAGCACACGTTCAACTCGATGATGTCCTCGTCTTCTTGATCCAGCAAGACAGCGAAGTAGTGGATCAGTTCCGGCAGCACGATGACGTGGTGACAGTGAAGCTATCTTCGCAAGGCTTCGCCTAACCACCACAAAATATGACCGAGGGTGTAAACGGTGGAGAGGGGCGCCTCACATGGCTAAGACAATGTTGTGTCCTCGTGTGGCGTCCCCTCCCCCCCACATATATA